AAAATAGAATAACATTTTTTAAGGAACCGTTCGCATAATACAAATTAAAAATGAACATTTATTCTTAAACGTAGATTATAATAAAAAATACATTTCTAAAAGTAACTTTTATGTTTTGAAAAGATTAAACGATTTGACTTTTTATTGGATTGAATTTCAATCAATTTTATAACATTGATTTATAAGTCCATTTTGCTCATTGATTTTCGTTTAATCTTATTATTTTTATAATCCGTTAAATCTTTAGTTATGTGATACATTTTTAAACGTGTACTTGAATAAATAAATAATCTTAGTTTATTCGATTATTAGCTTTTTGACGATCAACATTTCGATTAACTTTTTGACGATTAAATTTGTATGTATATTATTATATACATTTATATTAGAATTTTTGTATAATATTTCTGACAAAAATTAAAATAATTGCACATAATTCGATCAATAGTTTATACATCTGTGACGTTTATTCCATTAACTAGATTAACTTTATGAACACGAATATCTATAAAATTTTAAGACAAAAGTCATCGGTGTTTATACTATTGTGTAAAATACATTTATGTGAACGCACGTTGAATTCTATTAAGAATCAGATGATATTTTGGTAGGGTCCATGTTCATCCACATAATGATTAAGATAAATAATACGAATAATAATTTAAAACATAAATCTATAAGGTTAAAAATATTAATCATATACAATTAAAAATATAATTTGTAAGAAAATTAAAAAGAAAAAAAAAAATTAAAAAGCACTGCTTGTTGACTATACATAGTAGTATACATTTAAAAAAATATAAACGATTTATAAAAATTTAACACGTCGTTAGCGTTCAATCATTAATATTCTTTCTTAATCAACAAATTGGTTCAAACTGATTTTTATCCACAAAAAGTTGTTGCTACTTATTTAAACGAATCGCCAAGTCTATTATGACTTATTAAATCGTATTGGAGTTATGTGAAAAATTAATCTTAAAAGCGTATTATTTACAATAATTGTTCGGCATATTATATTCTGACGAATTTTGAATATGAAAAAAACCTGTTGAGTGTAATTACTCAAATGCATTACGAAATCGTAACAGTGATGTATGAATATCGGTGACGTTATGCAAGAAAACAATAATGATAAACTCGGTTGACGTGTGGTTACTGTTTTTTCCCTTCGTCCGAACATTCGGCGTGTTACCGTCGAATTCTTGCGATTACAGATTCACACGATGCACACGCGCCAAACGGGAAAAATCTATTATTCATGATGGACAGAGCGTCGATGATTTTACCCAAGCTAGTGTAGGACACAGCGGGCAGGGTTATTTTTATGGTTAAAACTACGAGTATACTCAATAAATATGCTCGGGCAGGGTCATACGGGATGCACCGCGGTATCGACGTCGACGTTTGGTCGGGCGTATGTCGTCGAAACACTGGCTTAACATGAGCATTACGTCCGGGGCCGCAAACAGCGACCGGGATGTGCACAGATCGCCTCGACGTTGTCATGAAAATAATTTTGTTAAATAAGAACCTTCGTTTATGTATTCCATCGGTGGAAAATATTTATAAATATATTATATAATTAATTATTTTTGTGCCGGTACGTGACATTGAAATGTATCAAATTTAAATGTTTATCATTGTTTTAAACATCGCACTACGATCTTTTATCCCGTCAACCGGTCGGCGGGGATGATCTAGCCGCGTTCACGTTATCAAACTAAAACGTTGCGGTGTCGGTTGTGATTATTTTCGACAAAAATTTATATTACGGTACGCGGTGAGAAGAATTATGATAATACGCCGTAGTCACGAAAACTCGAACACGAGAAAGGAGAGAAAACAATATTTTGAGTTATGGTGGATTTCGAACACATAACTTTTGTAATACGCCCGTCAACGTACTTAATTAATGGACCACCGCAATGACATTATTATACTTCTGCACGTTATAATCGTAAGCTACCGTCCACGAAGCAACTTTTGTGAAAAACTTCTTAAAATATTTTTAGATTATGTACTTGGATCTTCTTAAAAACTATACCATTTAAATGTAAATATACTTAGCAAAAGTTATCTTAAACTGCGAATTACTTTTATCGGTTTAAGCATAGATACGAGGGTAATTTCGTAAACTCTTGAGGGAGCTTAATATTAAGTACTTAATGTAAACATTGTTCGGGAGTTGATGTTTAAATTGGGTTTTTTTTAGATACTTACATTAAGATTCTTTAAATAAATATTGAAAACGGTAAAATATCCTAAATATTGTTGGAAAACAGAAAAACAATGTACTCGCAAAAATAACACACGAACAAAAATAATAGAAATTAAACGTGTATATAAGTAATTCGTACCTACTTCGAACTTCCAGTTTGAAATATTATATAAAGTGCGTGTCTCGAACATAGTGGTACGCAGGGTTTTTTTTTTTTTTTTTTTTTATGATTACGGAACAATGACATGGAATACATTAAAAATCATATGTTACTATATTTCTGTTGGATCATCCTGTCATAATAATATTTTCAATCTTGTATAAAAATTAACGTGTAAGCATAAACTGCAAGATAAGTTTTTGGTTTTTAAACGGAAATCATATTTTAGAGCTTTTTCTGGCGATTTCGACGGCCAAATGATAAATTCAAGTTTACAATTTTTTGTTTTCGTCAACTTCGATCCAATAAAGTTTCGTTGATTAGTCGGCAATTGAAACATAACCGGAATAAATCAGCTTTGCCAGGTCTATCTTTTTTTTTTCTAAGCTATTCAAACAACCATTGTGCACTTTTCCTTACCGAATGTTATCTGTACGGATTATTTGTGCACGATTCGTATTGCCCGTAAAGGTTGTGGTAGATTTCTGTTTTTCTCATCAACGTTATTTGTTTTTGCTGTTTTACCCGTGGATGCATTACGCTACCGAAGGTCGATTAATATGTTGCCTTAGCGTAATAATAACGTCGTACGAAACAATTAAATGTTTAAAAAATCGTGGTCTATGTATAATAATATATCGTATGTTGCATGGTCTTCAAGAACTCCTGTTCATGTCCGAGTGATCGATATGATTGCACATCGGCAGTCACGCGAACTATTGTGCATATATACGCGTTTTCAATGCCGTATAATAATACGGTTTATTAAGTAAATTATTTAAGTACATTTTCCTTCCCCCTTAACGGACTTAGGGCTGTGTTATGAACGTATTCGTAGGTGTAGTTGTTGAATGTAAACATGTTAATAATTGTTGATTTTAATAGGTTGATTCTGATAGGTGCATAAGTGTCTATTATTTTCTGTAATAACAGTTCTCCATTATTTGTATGTATTTAATTCGGTCTATTTCGTCAGATGTATATTTTGTCCATAAGTTCATATGCGATTTTTAACTGATTCTATCGAGTCCTTACGGCGGTAATTATTTATATTTATGTTGATTTGTATTATTTTTAATACCGTTCCCGATTGGGTTTTAAGATTGACGTCTACTACCTGATGTATGTGGTGGGGATGTGGAACGTATAATTGTTGATAAAATATCTACGGATTGCTTCTACACTGTTCGCAGTTCGAGGTACATCTTATGGATATCCTGCCAATAACAAAGAATTACATTTTGAAGCGGGATGTATATAATTTTCAAGAACGTAGTCGGGAAATGATAAATCTAACGTCGGGAAAACTGATATTAATTGTGTAAAGGCATCATCTACTTCTTCTGGGGGTAAATACGGCAAAAAAAAAAAAAAAATGTCAGTTAGTTCCCAATATCGGAATTTTTGTTATTGCACTCAAGTAATAATTGTTTGTTACTTTGAAATGTGCTGAAACAAACTTTGAGCTAAACGAGGAGTACAAGCCACAATTTTACAATCGGGATAAAGATTTAATAAAGATATCTCAAAATATACATGGAACTATTCAATATTTAGTTCTTGGTTAAGCATATGAGCACAAAGATCCCGAATAATTATCCACCACACTGTATTACAAGTTGAAATTGACTTGCTCTTCAAAAAACAAAAAGTTAAATACGTATCAGGCAAATGTACAACAGTTCCGTGTTTGGACGGCACGTTACTGTCAATAACCTTGAAACGATCAACTATATCGATCATTAGCGTTGCTGAACGTTAAGAGTGGATTACGCTACTCAACAATAACAACAATCTGTGTGAATAATAACCGCGGACTTCGGTCGCTACAGCGAACGTGTTGCGAAACGTCATTCTATAACTACACCGCGGGTTTGACGGTGAAACGATAACAACAACAACAACAAGACGTTTACCTATTGCAAATGTTCGTGAATTAAACACGAACCAAGGACGTAGGTAAGGACTAGTTTTGGGGGTGAGCGAGGAGAGATGGTTCGACGTACAGTAAAATCTGGACAAGATGGAATTTTCGTGGAACGGAAACCCCGTCAAAACGGAACATTTCTCGGGACTCGTTTCAAATACTTCCCGCCAAGACGGGAACCTAACTAATCCGGAAACGCAACAAGAAAAGCTAAACTTGTAGAAACTTGGTCGATTTACTGTCGTATCGTGGATGCCCGGATTGAAATTCAAGACATATTTTTTGCTATCGATGTTGACCCAGAATATGTTTCCTTCGCCTCGACAACTAAGGGACACTGCGAACCCGATATTCGGCTATAACCGTGGTCGCGCAGAGACCGACGAAAACAACGGACGATCGGAAAATCCGATAAGCTACTGCCAAAACGGTAATTTTTTCGTCCCGAGGAAGTACGAAAGTTCCCCACTGAAACCGAGCTTTTCGACTTCAAGAGCCGACGCGTCTCGAAGTGGAAAAAACAAAAAAAAAAATCGTAAATGTTATGGCGCCCAAGAGCGGCTTTCAACGAGGTCGAAAAAAACGGAATCGACGACGGCCGGATTCGGGTCGGGTCGGATTCTCGTCGAACGGCGTGAAAGGAAGGCCGTATAAAACGCGCGCGGCGGACGAACCGCTGTCAGTGGCGACGCGCGAGCGGAACGCGACGGTAGTGCATCGGCAAACGGTCCTCCCGACGACGATGGAAACGACGGTCCTCTGGTCGGACGGCGTCGGCTGGCGGTGGACGAGTTGCGCGGCGACGTGCCTGCTGCTGGCCGCGATCGCGGCCGCGTACCACTTCTGCACGGCCACGTTCGGCAAGTGGCGCGGGCTGGGCGTGCCGTGCGTGCAGCCCGTGGTGCCGCTGTTCGGCAACTTCCTGCGCGTGGCCGCGGGCCTCGTGCACCCGGTCGACTTCTACCGGGACGCGTACCAACAGCTGGCCGGCCGCAGGTACGGCGGCCTGTACCAGATGCGCACGCCGTACCTGATGGTCCGCGACCCGGAGCTGATCGTGCGCGTGCTCATCAGCGACTTCGCGAGCTTCACGGACCGCGGCGTGTACACCGACGTGGCGGCCAACCCGCTGTCCGACAACCTGTTCTTCATGGACAGCCCCCGGTGGAGGACGATGCGCAACAAGCTGAGCCCGGCGTTCACGTCCGGCAAGCTGAAGCTGATGCACGACCAGATCCGGATGTGCGGCGACGAGCTGATGGCCAACGTGCGCGGCGCGGTGCTGGCCGGCCGCGGCGAGATGGAGGTGCGCGACGTGATGGGCAAGTACTCCACGGACGTGATCGGCTCGTGCGCGTTCGGGCTGCGGCTGGACGCGGTGCGCGACGACGCGTCCACGTTCCGCCGGTACGGCAAGACGCTGTTCCGGCCGTCGCTCCGGGTGCTGCTGCGCGAGCTGTGCCTGCTCATCAGCCCCGCCCTGCTCAAAGTGGTCCGGATCCGGGACTTCCCGCCGGACGCCGACCGGTTCTTCCGGTCCGCGTTCCGCGACACCATCGAGAACCGCGAGAACAGCAACGTGGTCCGCAACGATTTCGTCAACGTGCTCATGCAGGCCCGACGGGATCTGGTGCTGGACCCGAACCTGCCGCGAAACGGTACGCGAAAACCGTCGACACGCTAAATCGAGTCCCGGGGTCGGGAAACTAAAAGTATACTTTTTATTTTATTTTTATTTTTATTTCCTTTGAACACGGGCCATACAGTTCAAGGAAATACGTCTGCTCCGTTAAGCCGGGGCTTCCGACGGGGCAGAGAGTTAGCAAACGTGTATAATAATGCTTCGAGTTGATACGATTAGTAAAATATCGAATCAGCATACACCTTTTCGCTCGGGATTAAGAAAAGACACAGCTTTCCCGTGTAAATATCAAGAAATAAATTTAACGCGGAAAACATGATAACAAGGATAATAACAACAAAAATAAAAAAAAAAAAAAACACGTAATAAATAAACTGAAATGAGAATGCGAAACAGAACCGAATTATAGATGTATAACATTTCTAAAGTGTATTACATTTGTAAATAGCATTAAGTATTGAACAACCGCACTTGTAAAATTTTAATTTTGAGAAAAAAAAAAAATGTAGTAGAATCGAGTCCGAGGATTGTTTTGAATAAAATACAAAAACAACCGTCCGGAGTCCAGGTGTAGTGGAAATCATGCCACGCGACATTAAATTTTATGTTTATGTCGCACTTATGTCACCGCGCCTTACGTCAAAAGTCGCACCACGTTTTGGATGCGCCTCGATATACGTACAGGATACGTGATATCGTTCATGTTACTTTTATGACTCGTCAGATAACACAGTAACATATTATAGAGGACGGAAGCATTAGATTTTATTTCTTTCGTCGCAATCAAACGCGATAACTATATTTTAATACATACAATGCTTGTATTATACATTTTTACCAATATAAAAAATGCTATTTTATCATCAGGTACCTATATTTATTTAATTACGTGCAAATTATTCATATTATATTATACGCATATATTTTAATATTTTATAATCTAACAACGTATACGTAAATTAGATTATAAGATGACAAAAAAAAAAAAAAATGCTTAAATTTGACGGGACTCAGCATTAAAACATGGACTCAATTTGCATTATATCTAAAGTTTAACGGGACTCGATTCGTCATGAGTGGTTGTATTGGGACTCGGTTCGTATGCAGCCGGATAGGCGGCGGTAGTGTATGTATTATTTGTAAATTTGAATTTTTTTTTCCACCGCATAAGTGGTTTTCTGTCATGATAACGTTTTTTGCATAAGGTACGATACAATTTATCATATCTATGAACTACAAATAAAATATAAACTACAGTACGACGATACGTCGTACAATACAAAACAATATCGATATTGAAAATTTGTCACGATATCGATATCGTATCGAACTATCGCTAATGTGTATCGTGATTTTTTTTTTGCTCTAGAAAAATTCACGGAATCGCAAATCGTGGCCAACGCGTTCGTCATGTTCGCCGCCGGATTTGAGACCGTGTCCTCCGCTCTGAGTTTTTGCTTGTACGAGTTGGCGCTGAAAACGCATATACAGGACAGGGTGCGCGAAGAGTTCACGTCGAAATTGTCCAAAAACAACGGTGTGATCAACAACGATTTCTTGGTAGATCTCACTTACTTGGACATGGTTTTAGCAGGTAATGTTAAGCACATTTGTAATTTATTCGATATTTATTTATTTTTTCAACTAAAGTAATGTTTTCCGTTTAAGAGCATTTGACTCCACTGAGCAGTAGTGTATTCCACGTAGAGCTCGAATTAAAAAAGAAAAAAAAAAATTAAAAATTGCTTATACGTTTTTAATTTTATTTCGCGTATCGTTATTGGAAATTTAAAAGTTTTTAATTGTTGTTATTTTAAAATTTAAAGTCGTAATAAATCAAACATTTTTAGCTTCCACTATTTTTTCATAAACATCAGTCCCATGTGTTAATGTATCGTATAACAGAAACTCAGAATGAGTCAGAAGTTTCTTAAAATTCAACAAAATAAAGTTTGATTTTCAATTTAAAGTTGTTATTGTACTCATATCTGTTTAAAATATAAGTATAAATATTTAAATAGATCCACTTGAATTCAAAACGTTAAAATATAAATTCGTATTTTGGTCGATGGGGGGGGGACTATAGTGTGATAAAAGCAATAACTAATTGCACATACAGTTGATTTATAAATTAAATATTGACATTAATAAGTAGGTACGTAGAGTAATTTATAGCAATTATATAATATTACTATCATTTTCTCAAATAGAGAAACAATTACATGAAAAATTAAACGTCATTAGCCGTGATTTAATTAGTTTTTTTAAATAATTATTTTTATTTTGTTCGATTCTTGATACGAAACTTGTATAAGCGTTCGATACTTAAGGCCAATATTAATGACACGCAAATGAAGGTAGAAATCAAATACATAAGTAGGAACCTGTATGACTAACCTATATAAGAATGTTTAAGTAAAGATAGTTAAAAATAACTAACATTTCCAATAAAGTTTAATACCATTATATTTACGATAATATATATTTTATGTACTTTTAATTCTTTTGTATGCAGTTTTATCGAAATATTCGTTTATTTTATTGTTTTGCTTGATTTTATTTTCGATTAGCGTTTGTTATTTTCGTTATTGATTCGAATCGGGTTCATATTCATTACGTTACGGTAGAAGTAATTTAATATTATTCGTATCAAATGATAACAAAAACTTATGTAATGTGTATATATTCTGGATTTTAGAAACGCTCCGAAAATATCCTCCAACTTTTGCCCTGTTCAGAATAGCTACTCAAGCCTACCAGGTACCCGACGATTCATTAACTATTGAAAAAGGTCAAAAGTTAATAATACCTATTCACTCGTTGCACTATAATCCTAAATATTTTCCGGATCCTGAAGTATTCAATCCGGAAAGGTTTTCATCTGAAGAAAAAGCAAAACGTGTAAGAGGTACATATCTTCCATTTGGTGATGGTCCTCGTATTTGTATAGGTAATTATATGTTTTAAAATATTTAAATGAGATTAACAGATACTACAAGGTATATATTTTTATTTTTATACATTTTTTCAGGAAAACGTTTTGCTGAGTTGGAAATGAAATTGGCTTTGGTTGAAATTTTATCGAAATTCGAAGTCCAAACATGTGAAAGGACTGAGATTCCCATAAAATTTAGTAAAAAAGCATTGATCATTGTACCAGAAAATGGTATTTGGTTAAAATTTATAGAAATAAAAAACTGAGTCTAGTGGAACACAAAACAATTTAACTCATGTTAAGTAGATGTATACATTTTAGATTTCATAAGTAAAATTTCAATTTGAATAATCGATTGATAAAATGACAAATTATTAATTTTAAATATTTGGTTGTTAGTGGTGTGTTGGAATTGTTATTGTTTTTATGTTTAATACAACTTCAGTGTAAAATAATACATTTCAAAAATAAATTTAAAAGTCTACTAGACAATGATTTTATAAATATTTTAATATTCTTACCTTTTTTTCAATGTATCAGAATTGAACAGTTTAGTGGCTGAAGTTCTACATAAAAATTATTTTTTCAGGAAATGTATTAATAATAATTTGAAAAATATTCGTATGGACTTAATAATATAAAAAAATGATGTAACTTCATAACTAAAATTACTACTAATACTAATACTTCTATTAAGCAGAAAATATTTGTTGTTTTGTAATTTCATATATTTTTTCAGAGAAATAAATTTTTTAAGCTGGGCAGTGTGGTCGATTGCGGAAGGCCAAGTATGTTTGGTTTTCTGCAACCGATCTTGGCCTCTTCCGTTTTGTGGATTACTGGATCGTACTCCTACATAGCCGCCATGTACAGATACGGATATCAATATCGACCAAAGGTACGATACTTACAATATTGATAAATAAAACCATTATCGACTATTGCGATAATAATCGGTATTAGTTCATATGCAAAGAAAGCCTAAAAAAAAAAAAAAAAGAACCGAAAACCACATGGCTTTATGTGGTGGCTGTTCAAGAGTACGGTACAGTATCTACAAAACGGCAGCGACACGTAAAATGCAACGAACGACGCAAATATGCAAAGGATGGCGTCAAAAACTAAACAAACGTGGTCGGCTGGAGTCTTTGGCTGAAATTTAAGCTTGTCGCGTACCGGGGAGGCCAACGTTAGGTATAATAGGCAATATATTTAATTTGGTAATAACTTATTATTATTGTTGGTGCAAATGAAAAAAAAAAGTATTGAAGTCTAACTATATATATATAGTTAAGTATATATATATATATATATATACTTAACTAATAAGATTACTAAGACCTCGATGTTATCGTCATACCGAGCGATTTCGAGTATCGAGCAACTTTATCGATATTTTTAACTTATCGACATATCATTAACATCTTTATATACAGCCACGCGGTCATCGGCTTTATTACAGTTTTTTTTCTCATCATTGTACGTATTGTAATATCGATTTTTGTCGATACTAAAATCGTGATCGATGACAATGGGTTTCAGTATTGATATTTTAAACATCGTACTTTTGGCAAGACCCATATTGCGCTCTCTAGTTGCGCCTATAATGTGACCGACGCGCAACGGAGCGCTCGTCGACCGTTTGACATGACGTACTCCGTACCTTGCGATGACGTGGAAATTTCGTTGAACGATGTGAAAAAGTTACACTCGTACGAGCTATAGAACAATAACCGGCTAAGCTAACCGGATCCAAACTTCAAGAGGCCGGGGAGCAAACACCAATTGGAGGCCCCTTAAAAAAAGTCGCTCAACGCAACAATTGTATATTTATTCAATATTTGTTGATATATGAATAACTAAAAAAAAGTATATAAATTAATAGTAATATTAAAAACGAAAAAAAAAACGTAACAGAAAACTTTCAATTTTAGATCTCGGTTTTAAAGATCCCTTAGAACTTTAGTTGCCCCGGTGCGTCATACACACCGCCCTCGCGTTAAACCCACGTCCGTGCGCACATGTATTCGTTCGAAGATAACGTAAACGATCGTTACCGTTATCAATAGCCCGGGCCGTCGTCTTTGTACTCAGGTCCCGTGACAGGCCGAAATTAAAAATAAATCTGGTGTTACGACTACTTATATACGTGTGTGTGTGTTTAGCAAGAAACGAAGAACTTTAATCCTTATTAGTAGTTGGTTGCCCTGTAGGGTTGCTATCTAAAAGGATTGAAAAGTCATTATTTTTTTTTTTTTTTAATACAAGGTCTTTTCGGTCGAAAATAAATCAAGACTTGGAGATTTATTTTTAAACTTAAAACCGTTTCGGGGAATACGAGAAAAAATGTTACCGTTTAAGTGTTATGAACGTTTCCTAGTTTTTTTTTTAATTTTTTTTTTCTATTCAATTTGCTTGTTTGACGGCTCTCGTGTTACGATCGCGTAACGAAATCTAGTTTCACTTGTAATTTATCAACGATAGATATTAATATTAGAATACACGTCAGATGGACTTCTTAAAATGTGTAGTAATTTATTACTACCAAAACAAAACACGTTTTTTACGTGAACTAATTGAAAAGATACTTGTCTTTGACTTAATTATTCAACTATAATAAGTAATACATATTAACCACATTATAATTTATTTAAAATTGCCAATATGTAATACGATATTCATACTGTGTTGATGAGTATATTATAGTGCCATTGAATGGTATATTAAATACATGCAGAATTTAAAAACAAGAGGTAATTATGTTAGTGAGTGTTATTAGTGAGTTAGTTATTGTGAGTGAAACGAGGAATGTATTTTATTTACATTTTTTTTTTTATATTCACAAAAAAACTTTCCTCGGCAGTAGTGGTCATTTGATGGAATTAATATGACTTCAATAGGTTTAAATGAACATGAATAAATAAAAGTAAGTAGTATAAAGTATAAATGTTAGCGTTTGAAGTTGATGATTATATTTTGTTTATTACAAATGGCCGATGGATTCTGTGTTGGAAATTGAATCGGGATCCTGGTCGAGAGTTTCAGTGAGTGATTCATTGGGAGATTTTGAATTTTTTCTGTACGCGTTGTACACGCGGAATTCGGAATATATGTTTTTATGTTGATAAACCCACATGCATATTGTTGCGTCCTCTTCAGACAGGAATCCATGCCGATCCTTAATCTGATGATTATGACTTCAAACTTTCACCTTTCAGGTGGGAAAGGCTAGTGATACATATTTTGTATTACTTCGTGAAGTTCAATGGATTCGTTATCCATTGTTAGTGACATTTACGAGGAATGTATTGGTTTTACCCTGACGAGGGTTTTTATTTTTATGTCTGTGTACACGATTTTACGATGTACACGAACCGACCTTGTAACAACATTTGGTTATTTTATTATATCAACCATATTTACAAATACAAACTTATCCAGCCGACCATTTTCATTTAGAATCATTTAACATGTACATGTTTCATTTTTAAAAGACTCATAGTGCAATAATATTCACCCATCCCTATATCTCGCTCGACTGTGGTGTCTGATCCTACCTAGAAGTGTCGCCCTTTTTTTACACACTACTATATACGTATTTTAGATCGATAAAGTTGACCAAAAAGATACACTACAGGTAATATATAATATTTTTTTTATATCTGAGTACACTCTATCAATACGTTTTACATATTTGAAAGTAAGTAGCTCTAGGACTGTACAAAAAGTACATGACTATCAGTGGAGTATGTATGTCCGTTTGGGGATATGGTGTAGAACAATGGTTGGTAATTTTTTTGGATCTTTGAGCCAAATTCACTAATTAAAAAGGGATAACGGGCAAAATAATACAAAAAATAATATAAAAATTGATATGCTATTTAATGAAATGTCCTAGTTTTGGAATTTAATACGGACCGTATAAAAGAGACATGTGGCCGTGTGGGCCACCAGTTGCCAACCACTGGTGTAGAACAACTAATCTACGGGACAGGAGTCTCGGAATTTCTTTAATCGTCCCTTCAATATATATATACTATGTAAAAATTTATATTTCATGGAGTAATGATTAATTAATTATAATTCAAATAAAAACAGCCAACCACTATTTGAAAGTAACTAGTACTAGTACATCCACAACGAGCAATAGTTTTACCAAAGGTAAATAGAGAGTCCAATACTATGACTATTTTCTATCCAAAACTAAGTGATCGACTCGTATTTATACGAGTTTTAGTAATGACATATAGTGACGCAATGTTATTCATAATTTGCTCATTACAAAAATATTACGTGGTATTCAATATAAAAGTGTTATTCAACGGAAATTGAAAAAAAAAATTATATTTATATTTTTTTTTACTCTTTAACCTCTCTATTCCCGGGAATTAAATCCTTCGATGCATCTACACGCACGTATATTCGTAGATAAACATGTTAATTATGTAACTAATAATATTGACTCAACGTAATAATTTATAATTCTATTGAATCTATTCTGGGTTTACTAAATAAATGATAAGAAAATAAAGGATCGGAGAATTGATCTAATATTAGATTTTGTGGTGTATGTTGCGTATAATTTCCAATTAAAATATTTTCGGTTCGAAAATGTACAAAAATTTCTTGTGGGTTTCAGTTTTCGGGTCTAAACACGTGTAAAAATGTTTGCGGGTCTCAGGCAATGGGTTTCAGCGGGTACGGGTATAGTTTTTTCGATGAGCAACCGGGTAACAAATAGCAATACGTGTTTTCACCTTCATCGACTGGTCAGATGTACGTAATAAACTTTATCCATATGTATTCTGTGGATGATAGTTCAACTATGTTCAACCAATCAATCAATAATCGATGTATTGTTTCTTTATGTATTTATTTAATAATTATTTATGTACAACACAAATGTATTGTGTAATAGATATGAAACCATGATAACAAGGGAAAAAACTCATTGTTATAGTCAACTGTCTAAGATAATATGCGTTTCTCTACAACATAGTGAAATCGAACAACTGCAACAGTTATGTAACAAGAACTTGTTATAACACGGACGCTGTCACACAGGCCGATCGAATCAAATGAATTAAATGCAATTATTAAAATCAAAATTGTGACTTGAAATCACGCGTATGTTTCCTGTAGTGGTCGAGTCAGTCCCATCACAGAGGACCCACTATTCCGCGTCTTCTGCCCTGTACAAGTTCGACTTAGCTAATCGAACACATTTATTGCTTACGCGCTAATTGACAGCAATGCGATTGTTTTACAACTATTTTCTTACGTCCTTAAATGTTATTCCGTTACCCGTATTTCCTGTTGTGACACGAACATACAGTTCTTTTTACAATGCGTCTCGCGCTTTCCGCGAC